ATGCAAGGTGTAATAAAAAGTAATTAATAGAGCTCTCTTAAACACCACAAAAAAAAATTTTTTTTTTTTTACTTCAGCCAGCCATAATATATGTTTGCACCACACTATGTGCAAATGCATGGTTTGATAATACATGGAAGCAATCAAACGACTCAATTCAGGTATTTAATAACAAAATATTTTAAATCGAATTTTGTGCACAAACAAGACTTAAAAAAAGCTGTCCTTCAAAGCAACAAGAACTTCTGAAGTCTAGGTTTATTCTGTATATGTGTGTGCGGACATGTTCATGAATGTGTTTAAGAGACCCTCTCTGCAGCTCTGACTCACTGAGCAAAAGATCTAATCAGAGTTATGACAGAGTTAGCATAAGCATGCCTCAAGAACCAAAACACACACAGATATACACACACGTTATCACCATGCATGCCCTAAAATGGACTGAAAAAGACACTCTGATACTGAATTGCTTAAGTTTCCCTTCACTACTACACAGAGATCAAGAAAACACGTGACCATGCAACCTTGATGAAGGGTCTATTCCAGGGATCCTCAAATCTGGCCCACGAGATCCACTTTCCTGCAGAGTTGAGCTCTAACCCTAATCAAGCAAGCCTGAGCATGCTAATCAATGTCTTCAGGATCATTAGAAAATCCCAGGTAGGTGAGTTTGATCAGGGTTGGAGCTAAACTCTGCAGCGCATTGGCCCTCCAGGGCAAGATTTGAGGAACCCTGGTCTATTCTATATACCTATTCATTGTAAATTATCTAACAGCTAATTCATGTTCAGTGCGCGACTGATCGATGATTTTAAGTAATAAAGTCATCCTTCATACTCAATGAAACATGATGCACTCACAAAAGGCTCTCTGCTGTGTGAGCACTGAAGTGATGCTTCACAGTTGGAAACAGATCTGTGAGTGAACTGAGCTATGGGGCACAGAGAACTTGCCATAATGTGGACTGACCCAATTTAACCCCTTAATGCCACTGGTTACAGGTCTAAAGAGAGATGAGAGCAATGAGTTTTCAACTATAAATAAAAGCACAGGTTGTATTGATTTCATGTGCATCTTTTACATGTCTAGAGTAAATAATGTCACAAAGAGCTATTTAATGCTTGTTTTCCCTCCTGAAAATGTATTTCTGTATCAAAGCTTCACAAAAGCAAGCACTACCTCTGATAATACAGTTGCAACCACCATATTAAGTACATATATTATATAGAAAGAGCTATTAATTAAATAAATTATTATAAATTCAATCAAATTGATCTAGCTCAAGTCATACTCATAATATACAAAGATTTCATTGGTCACATTTGTGACCAGTCAGTGTTAAATAACTGATTGATTTACACTATAACAATGTATGTTGATTCAATTAAATAAACAATCATTTAATTGTATTTTTATTTAGACATTTATTTGTATTTTCCCCGTAATTGTGCTAATTTATCGTTTTCAATTGTCTTATTTAACAACTGCGCAATTTGTGATCGATAAATTTTGACTGTCGCTATTGTGACCAGACGTAAAACACACATTCACTAACTTTTTAACTAAAAAAATAAATAATTAAGCACATTTAAGACTTAAATGTATTAAACTAACAGAAGTTAAGATCCTAAGTTTTAATGATAAAGCAATCGATCATTGAAAGTAACACACATCAATGAAAGAGCTCCTTTCATTGGTCACATTTGTGACCAGTCAGTGTTAAATAACTGATTGATTTACACTATAACAATGTATGTTGATTCAATTAAATAAACAATCATTTAATTGTATTTTTATTTAGACATTTATTTGTATTTTCCCCATAATTGTGCTAATTTATCGTTTTCAATTGTCTTATTTAACAACTGCGCAATGTGATCGATAAATTCTGACTGTCGCTATTGTGACCAGACGTAAAACACACATTCACTAACTTTTTAACTAAAAAGATAATTAATTAAGCACATTTAAGACTTAAATGTATTAAACTAACAGAAGTTACGATCCTAAGTTTTAATGATAAAGCAATCGATCATTGAAAGTAACACACATCAATGGGGAAAAGAGCTCCATGCTTACTCGCCACGGTGAGCGCAACAAACCACAGTCCTGAAGCCATCGGAGCTGTCATCTCCTGCAGGAGCCCCTCCGTCCACACTTACATCAACTGACAGGCAAAGATCGCGTCTTTACAGATCCATTTTCCCCGCACACTTCACAACGACAGTCCCTGCGATAGAGACAAACAGATGTGAGTACGCGAACACGCGGGATCCGGGCTTCTTATGCCCTCAGATTGTGAACAATTCGAGCGTGTTTTACGCCTGGAGAGTTGTTCGGTTCCTTTTCACTGATAATCAGCCACAAACACTAACGTTATGATAAAAGGTCTTTGGGATTTTCTCCTCTGCACGCGAACTGACTCGCGCGCTCTCGGCAGACTGTGCGCTTCTCTTGCGCGCGCGGCAGACTTGACATCCGCGAGCGCAATCAAGCCATCAACTTATGTAAAAACAAGTCTTCTACCACTTAAATACAGTTCACAGTCCACAGGGCATATTATTAAAAATATTTCAACAATCCATTTGTCTTTCCCATACCATCGATTTTAATGTCGTTTTAAATATACACACAATTTTAGCAGGTGTTGATGGCCCAGTGTGATAATATAAGTTATGATAATTACTGGCTCAAGTGCACATGGTTAAAAGAACTGCAAATTGCCACTGTGTCTTGCATGGGTAATTGGCTAGGTGTGCGTCACGGGGGAGGAGAGTTTGCTGGTTGTGTGTTCTGCACCATGGAGCATAAGAAACGTTCTTAATACGCATTTACATGAGTTGGTTTTTCAATTCTTCTCATTATGGGAGCCACTGAGAAGTTGTCAGAAGGATTATATCTCACGAACTGTTTTGAACTTACAGAAAGGTATGTTGCTAGTTCAAAAACCCCTTAAAGTGTAATACATTTTGTTGTCAAAACTTATATTTTTTGCTATATACAAAGTAAACAAACTTAACACCATGAATCCACAACAGCATATTCAGGCTAGAATCACCTATATGATAAATATAATAAAGATACATTTGAACCAAAATGCATTTTCCGTAAGTATTATGTTGGGGAAATTTGGCACATGAGTTACTGGTCAAACAATGGTTCAGTGTTACCATGTACACTTCTGGTCAAAAGTATGGAATAACTAAGATTTTGATTAAAGAAGCCTCTTTAAATGGCTCACCTAAAGCTGCATTTATTTGATTAAAAATACAGTAAAAAGAGCAATATTGTGAAATATTATTACAATTTTCTTTTTTAATATATTTTAAAATGTAATTTATTCCTGTGATGACAAAGCAAAAAAAAATTTAGCAGCCATTACTCCAGACTTCAGTCACATGATTCTTCAGAAATCATTCTAATATGCTGATTTGGTGCTCAGGAAACATTTTATTATCATCATCAATGTTGAAAAAAGTTGTGCTGTTTAATATTTTTCTGGAAACTGTGATATCTTTTTTTTTCAGGATTGTTTGAGAAAGTTCAAAAGAACAGCATTTATTGGAAATAGCAATCTTTTGTTAAGTCTTTACTGTTGATCAATTTTATGCATCACTGCAGAATAAAAGCTTTAAAAAAAGTTTTAAATGGTAGTGTAACACGCTTTCCACAAAAAAAAATTAAGCAGCAAAAACTGTTCTTCAGCATTGTTAATATTAAGAATTTTTTCTTGAGCACCAAATCAGCATATACTAGTATTATTTCTGAAGGATCAGTTCTTTTAAATTATAATAATATTTCACAATATTATTATTTGCTTGATCAAATAAATGCAGCCTTGGTGAGCATAAGAGACTTCTTACCAAAACATTTTAAAACTTTGACTACTAGTGTATTTTTTGTCATATGTTTTGGCCTTCACAACTGTTTTCCTTGTTGAATGAAGCTGAAAAGCCTATAGTAGGCTGTCTAGTAGTAAGTCATTATTGTGACAACATGCCCCAGCCCACTAATGTCAATGTGTCACATTAACAGTAATATTTTTTGTTGCCAATGATGGTGCAAATATTCCAAAAAATTGCAGCCAAGACTTTAAGACTTCATCCATAGATGAGTGTCAAGTTCAGAATGAAGAGAGCTCATTGCAGTTTACTGCAGTTTCTCAGCTGCTCACTTCAAAGGATAAATATATTGCTAGAAAAGCATTGTTTTCTTAATTAACTTTCAATGAACTTAATTAACCATGAAAACCCCAATCACGGACGCAAATTAATTTCTCACACCCTGTCACACATAAAATCTCATGAGGAAAGACATCACACAAAACGTCGCAAAGCAGTGGACCCTTGAGGCGAAGTACAAAGCAAAGGCCTGACGTTATGGTCCTAGAACAGGACAAAATAGGACTCTCGTCTTTCCACAAACCCTCTGCAGTGAATGCACGCCTGAGTGTGAGAAATCAAGAAAGCATGAGAGCAAGAAACAGAGAGTCAAAGGAGGCATTAAGGTCAGTGATTCTACAAAGTGGCTATGGATCTTTAAACGTCCTAAGCCATTCATGCATACACAAACATTTTCATACACAAGCATGCACATACTCAAGGCTCTCTCACTCAGCCATGCCCAAATGTTACAGCCATTAGTGTTGGTTAAATGGCTGTTAATTGAATTTAGTCTGAGTGAAAGAGGACCTCACATAATGTTACCTGATACAGACAAAAATAATGAAATACACAAACGATTCACTATCGATTTCTGCACAGTTACATGTTTATTCTAATATGCAGCCTTTTGAGGACACATCTGAAATATCTTTTTTTGAGCCTGACAGTAACATTGTAGTATGTTAACAAACTGCAGTAACATTTTGATTAAATAATCTAAACAGAAAACGTCATCTTCCCAAAGCTGATGAATTGTTTTGCTTTATTCTGAGCACAATAAAGCATGTGTGGAGCAAATCTAAACATTAATGTGTGACTGCATACACATAAACATACCTACATTCACCGGCATTTACGTATTGCCCTTTTCTGACTGTCTGCAGCATGAAGTCTGGTTCGCCATCACTCTCATGCTCCAATTCCCCCAATAGGAGGTGTTTGGGGACAGAAGCAGACTGCAGTATAAAGATTTAAACACTAACAGATATTAGCTCACCATTCTGATGCCTTATGTTTACACATCAGAAGCACTCATCCATGGACTTTCAACATGTTCTTACACAGAACATGGCAGTTTACCTAATGCAGATCCAGGATAAACCACTTTAATCTTCAGCATCTGGTGGGTGATGGTTAGTCACTTCAGTCATCTGATCTCCAGAAGGTGAAAATTGCTTCATTCATTCTTTGCTTGGGCTGAAAACACAAGCCAAATGCATCTGGCTGAGACAAATTAAATAAAACAATTGACTGTTTTAAAATGGTCTTTACAAAAAACATTAATAATATTGCACAAACCTTTCAAACCATGTATGGACATATGTAATAAATAACTAAATAAATAAATAAATATAGTTTTTAACTGAACAGTGTAGCCTACATATTTAAATTGCACCATATAAATCCTTGCCAATAACCAAGTCAATATAATTTATCAGAGGTCGATCACAATTTCATCACTACTATGATAGTAAATATTCCCACTCTAGTCTTTAACTTTCTGTGTAATATATCTACTATACCGTTTTTTCCATGAGCTTAAAATAAACCACGTGTAAGATCTGCTAATAACCAAATCACAGCGTGTGAAAAAATCTGCTTAATTTGGAAGACTGCTACAGGGAATGAAAAACATAGGGGAAGCTAAATCTACCTAAAGAGTAATAAAAGAACATAATGTTGTTTCAACAACGAAGTCGAATTTCTGCCCAATTCATAAAAAAATGCATTTATTTGCACACTTAAGGTTTATTTACTTACGCATGGCGTGGCACATTTACGTCTTTTCTTATGGCGCCATCTTGTGGTGAACTAGATAAAGTCCAGGACCCTGCCTGACCGTGAAGATAATCAAGTTTGTACTTTCTTAGAAAACAAGGATTCAGATTTTGGTCTTAACATCTTACTGTCACTTTGAAGGATTTTAATATATATGACTTTTGAAGCATATAGTCTAGATGTTTTAAATCTAAGCCTAACATTAACCAGTTGGAAAATGTTAAACTCTATAAGTCTTGATGATTTGAATGATTGATTTCACTTTTAGATAAGCTAATTTGAAAAAGGCTCACTTTTATTTAATAAATCTAATTAATTTTTTTGTAAAAAAAAACTTTTTTTTCTCCTGTGGAAGTTACGCGTTTTAGATTATTAACAGCAGTCCACAAAACAACATTTTTTTTTGTTATGTATATTTTATGAAATTTTATGTTATGTACATTTTTATTATTGTTTTATAGATATTTATTTGATTATTTTAATGTTATATTCATAGCTTTCCCAGACTAGATCCCCAGTCCTTTATCTCGGTATGAGGACTTCCTGTCGGGAAAGACTCCACAGCATCATCATCACCGTTCAGTTCCCAAACAAACTTTACCATCTCACACTCCAATCCGCAACTTTTCCTCCAGCACGCTCCATCGAAAAGTCCCGTCGCCAGCAAGATCCGCTGGGAAAACAAAAGCAGAAATGTCCCCTCCGTCCGCACGGCTTCAAACCAAACCCGTGATAACATGTCTGAAGACGTTTCTGATCTCGTACAGTCTGATTTTCTGGGTGAGTTTGTGTTTTCATCAGATGTGCCGTTAGCTTGAGCCGGCTATCAGCACAGCTAACTCACTCTGAACAATGGGCTCAGTCAACGAACAGTTCTAACTCTTAGTGTAATCCTAGTTCAGATTTTTAAGATTTCTTTATGAAAAATAAGATACATTTCTAAACATAATTTAGATGTTTATTTATCTTCTGATTAGCAAAAATACTTACAAAAAGATTTACACAGATCCTCTCGATTAACGTTACCTTTTATTGTTACCGGCTTGCTTAAGGATGCGTCGAATAATTGTAGATTTTCCCAGCATTTTAAATTTATATACCAAAAGTATGAAATTAAACTTTAATTTTGGGATATAGGTTTAAATGTATTAAAGACGAAGAAATACGAAATTTCGCTGCCTTGTGTAACGTTACTTTGCCAAGAATAGTCACAGCTGTTTTGATCGCTGTTCAAATATATTGATATACAGAGATTCAATAAGGGAACTGATATAAACCGTTCATCAAACGTGGCCTAAACAGGGTGGCCGCGGGTCCTTAAAAAGTCTTAAAATGTCTTAAATTCAGATTCAGTAGGTCTTAAATATTTTTGGTCGCATTACCACAAAAATGTCTCCAGTCTAACGGACCCAGTGAATTTTTGGTCACATTACCACAAACATTTCTCCAGTCTGACGGACCCAGTGAGTGTCCATCAAGAGTACTTTTCCCCCCCGCTGTAGTTACCGCGTCATCAGAGAGAATTGCGGTTACAGAATACAGTCGAACACCAGCTCGCTGTCCAGCCTCCGAACTACTTTAAATGGCTTAATGCAAGTTTACTGAAAAATGGCTTGAGAATTGTACTTACCCGACAGGACTAATAGCCTGATTAAAACTTAAGTGACAAAATATAATCACGCATCAAAACGCGCGAATGATTCTTCTGATTTTATTACATTCAGCTTAAACAGCGCTTGATAATCGATAGTGTATTTCTATTATCAATGTCGCGCTGCAGTTGCTTATGATCGAAATTATAACTCTTGTCATTTATTTACCCTTGGCAGTAATACACATCACCAAATAGTAAATAGGCTTGTCACTGCACCAAATTATTATAAATTGAAAAAAAAAAAACGTACAGGTTTCAAAGTCATCAATATCCTAGCATAACACAAATTAATAACTGCATTCTGCAACTACTATAAAATATCCATCTTTATCCACATACATACATACATACGTTTAACTTTACGTATGTACTATATCAGGGGTGGCGAACGTCGGAGAGTTTTGCTTCAACCCTAATCAAACACACCTGAACAAGCTAATCAAGGTCTGAAGGGTTACTAGGAAGCTACAGGCAGGTGAGTTTTTATTAGGGTTGGAGCTGAGCGCTGCAGGACTGTGGCTCTCCAGGATTGGAGTTCGCCACCCCTGTACTATATAGTTAATCTCAACTGCATGATTAATTAATGTCACAAAATATAAACTATATTATCATCCAGTTCAAATCTGCTAAATGGGACTATAAGATATGAAGTATATTAAGATATAATACACATTAACATCATGTTCTTCTGTAAAGCCACTTTAAACAATGTGTATTTGTGAAAAGCGCTATCCAAAATGACTTGACTTGGCTTTTATTTATTTTGACTTCTAAATAGGTCAAGGCTTGTATTTGCTCTCAGCAGTTAGAACTGGAAACTCCCAGATTTCCTGTTTTTATTTAATGCTCTAAACTGTCCGAGTTTTGAAGCTGAAGTGTAATTACAAGGTTTGCAAGGGTAGTATTAAGAATGGGGATGGGCAAGACACAGTGCCATAATCCCTCAGGCAAAACCATAAACACTTCTTGAATATGTCTGAGAGTTTTTAACTTTTCTTGTAGTTCACAGGAGTGATCTTGTTGGCTGTTGGAGTATGGGGAAAGGTTAATTTGGAGTTTGACCTCCTCCTGACTTCAGACAAGGGCACCAATGCACCATATGTCCTCATTGGGACCGGAGCCATCATCATCATCTTCGGGTTGTTCGGTTGCTTTGCTACCTGCCGTGGAAGTCCATGGATGCTGAAGCTGGTCAGTTCTAGAGATTTCACAAGATTTCAAAACGGAGAGTGATAAAATTCATAAATGTGGGAGTAGTTACAGCACATTCTATGTATACGTTACACTTAGAATACATATGTCCTTTTTTTGTAAAAAAGAAAGAAAGAAAAAAGCACAGATCCTCTTATATGACACAGAACTGACCTATCATGAAAAATTGCTAGTTTACATTTGATGTCCGCTTAAAAAATGGTCATTTAAGCCCTCGACCCTGTCGAGGAAAAAAAGAGAGAGAAAAACATCTTTAATTTATATGCCGAGATGCAAACAGGTAATGGGGGAAAAAAAAGGTGAGAACATTGCGTGGATCAGGAGCATGCTCCACACGGATATTTGCTTTACATGCTCATTTGTAGTTACTTTAAGGT